GTGTTTATAAAAACGGACGGCGCTGAAAATGCATATGTGCATCTTTTTTGAACATTTTTTTAAAAAAAATTATAAGGTAATGAATCCAAGTAATTTCGTAATGTGCGAAATCATTGGTATATATATTTTACTAAATGTGTCTTATTAAAAGACTACATTCCCTTTTGCAAGGTTGCTGCAGGTGCTATAAATTTATAATAGTGGGGTTGTAAACTAAGATTAAGGAATTTAAAGATTTAAAATTCGCTTTATTGTTTAGAATTCCGAATATGAAGACATCACCCGAAAAAATACATCTGTAATATACTTAGTCACCCCGACTCCGAAGTTTGGAACTTTGCCCAGTAATGATTACGATTAGTGTTTAAATAAGTAAAGGAAAAGTAAACATGCAATTCTTCGTTCAGTTGATAAACGCTGTTGAAACTAGTATTCTGTTTAGTTGTCAAAACTGAAAAGGCGCATTTTTTGCTTTATCCGTTTTCGCGAACACGCATTTTGAGCTATGTCCGTTTTTATTAAAATGAATTAAGAATTGCGTTCATTTTTGAAACCACGCATTTGATTTCCGTAAGCACTTATTTCGAGTTTTTTTCATTTTCGTGAATACGCATTTTGAGCTTTGTCCATTTCAGTAAACACGCGTTTCGAACTATGTCCAGATTTAAAAAAATTATCTACGACATTTTAAATATGATAACATTTTATGCGTGGTATAGCTTTCCTCGTAAACGCAATGTAAACGGCTTTGTCATTTATAAACTTCTTTCAAATGCATTACCAAAAACTGAGTTTTTCTTTTCTAATCGAGATTTAAAATGATTTTCTTTTGCTTTCAGGGAAGATTTAAGATATTACTTCTATTCAAGTAAATAACTTTACTTTTCTCACTTTACTCTTATCTTTTTGTAATCTTTTTTTTTCTCTACTTTTCCGATTCGTCTCACATTTTATTTCAACTTTAATGCTAGTCTATTTATTATTATCTGTTATCTAACTTAAAGCTTCTTATTTTAGTGTTTCTTTACTTCCTTGTTTTATACACAGTGAACAATTAACATGCTATAGCACAATCTCGTTAGAAAATCAGTTGCAAATTTTCTTATAACAAAATCGAGGTAATTTGTTTAAAATTTGAAGCAAATGCATAAATTTTAGAAAAAATACGAAGATATAAATTTTCAGTATTTTATCATTAGAACGCAGCAATCTTAAAATTTTCTTTTCTTGAAATTACTCTTTGCAATAGTCTTCCACCTACCAGTTTTTTTCTCTCATTAGTCTAGTAGAGCGGTTATCAAAGCCCGGGATAGCCTGGTCGGTAGGGCGTTGGGCCCATGTCCAAGAGTTCGTGGGTTCGAACCCCACCGGCCGAAGACTCCCCACGTAGTAAAGTGACTGATGCACGTTAAATCTCTCGAGTCGCAAAAGTCCTCCATGTTCCCATAACGAATCAATACCTCTGGGGGTACTGGATTGGAGATCGCTCGTTCTCTGATTCAGGTCAAAATTACGATCTGTGGATGAATGAATGGATGTATGAATGGGTTCTCCCTATAAACGGGTGAGACGTATGGTGTGGCAGAAGTCGAATTCTTGGCTATAGATGGCGCCACTGGAAAACAAGAACAATCGCACCCCCTTTGCCTAAACAGGCATACGTCAACAACTACAGCAGTTACCAAGACTACTAATACCACGTGGACCACTAGTAGGGAATGGGTGTAAAAATTGTTTGCATCAGCGAAGATATTGTTAGTTTTGATTGTTACTTTAATAGTGTCAGGCGAATTTCTCGCCATCCCGCTGATGTGATGTTACACTAATTGAATAATTATAACTTTTATTGCAATTATTAAGTAAAATCAATTCAATTAATCATTATTCTCATTTGATTATTCTTTTGCAGCTATGGTCCTCATATTATTTAAGAATTTTACTGAGTCTTGTCATTTGAGAACTTGACACCATGAATGTCTTGCTGATAACTGAAAATCAATTAATCATTATGCTCATTAGATTATTCTTTCGCATCTATGGTCCTCATATTATATAAAAATTTTATTGAGGTTTGTCATTTGAGAACTTGACACCATGAATATCTTGTTGATAACTGAAAATCAATTAGTCATTATTCTCACTTGATTATTCTTTGGCATCTATGGTCCTCATGTTGTATAAAAATTTTATTGAGTTTTGTTATTTGAGAACTTGACACCATGGATATCTTGTTGATAACTGAGGAGCTGGTCCCTAGAACTAAATATTTTCTGGTATTCTCCGAGAGACACTCAAAAGTTTGACAATCGCTTGTCTACATTGAGGAAAAAGTATGGTAAGAAATGCCAGAATATGGCTACATTTATAATGCTTCTGGGTCCATGAAAGCACCAAAAAGCTCAGCAAATTTTTATCGATGGGCTTTAATGATTTTGGAAAATTAACAGTAAAATATGGTTTTATAACATTTGATGAAATTTGGTAATTGTGAAGTGAAAGAGATTGGTTAAATTTACTTTTAAGTTCTTTCTTTTTTTACTAAATATTTGGAAATAAAATCTATAATTTTAAAAACCGAAATTTCCAGTAAACCATTACCATATAAACAGAAAAAATATAAATTGAATGGCTTAAAAACCGCATATTTTCTTATGAACCAGAATTGTTGGTTTTTTATACACATAATTCTGGTTAGTGAAATAATCAAACAGCATGGTAATTTTATCGGAATTTTTCCCCATGTAATATATACTTTTCTTTAATTAAACATTTATACACATAAAATGCCCAACTGATAACAAAAAAAAAATTTGCATTTTCGCATTTTAACTTTTCTCATAATTTTCTTCCAAATCACTAAAACTCAAAAACAATAATAAACTAATAATTTTTTTAATAAAGATAGAAGATTAATCTTACTTGAGAATACGCAAAAGAAAATTATTTGAGTTTTGGTAAAGAAAAGAGAAAGAAAAAAAAAGGACGTAATACTTCGGATTACATCTCCTACGTTATTTTTGTCGAACTACTTAGGCAGATTAGAGCACAAATACATGTTAAGATCCAAGACTCTGGCATAATTCTCTGCTTAGACATGAACGACCTTTTAGAACAGGAAATTATAGAAGAAATTTTACTTTTCAATGAACAGGAATGCATTTTCTTAGCGTGAGTGACCATATTTAGATTTATTAGTTTGCAGACATTCGTATATTTAAAGGGGAAGTGAATTTAATGTTAGTTTATTTCGCGGAAGTAATTTAATAGAATTTTCTTGGTATTGCCAGAAAAAATTAAATAAGAAGAAATATTTAAGTATTGCGTAATTCTATAAATATTATAAAGAAGAAAAATAATGAGTTAATCTACATTAAGGCGAATAAATTTAATGGAATGTTAATTAAATTTGGCGTCATTGCATTATCTAAACGACATTTAAGATAGTTTCTAATTTAATATCTTGTATGCCTCAGAAATGTAATTGCCAAAGGTTTATGTTGCAGCCAAGTATTTTATAATGCAATTAATTAAATATCTAATTATGTTATGTTTTAGATATCATAGGTGTGTATTTAAAACATGCACTTCAAATTTTGAAAGAAAAAAAATATTACTTCAAAACGCAAACGTAAAGAATTTGAATTTAAATACTGTTAATTAAAATAGCGAAGATACTGCCTTTGAAATATTATTTGTAACACCAAATGCTGCAAGGTGGTCTACAATTACTGAAACATCTAAGTGATTTTCATGCTCCTTTATGTTCATTCTTCGTGTTCATCTCATGCAGAAATTTATTTAAAGTTTAAAACTGGTTTTTGAATAAATTAATTACAATGGGCTATGTCTCATTTAGTGTTTGCTTTTCATTTTGCTTAGAATTTTTTTTAAACATGAAATCCGTGAAATCCCTGCTTATTTTGCATTAAATTATAAGTTTTCTGTGATTAAATTCAAATCCTAGACTGGTATAGCATTCTACGTAGGTGTATTTAAACTAATGCAGTGAGATTAGCATTCTTGTCTACAAAGTTAAATGAGTATAGTTACAAAGTTAAGGAAATAAATACGTAGCTCCAAATCTATTAATTATATAAGATCGTTGTCACTCGCTTATTTACTGAGAAAACAATATGGTCCAAATTACCAGAATACACTAAAATGTAACCTTTTTTCTGATTTTATGGGAACACCAAAAAGTTACTGAGGTATTTTTCACCAAAGCGCTTTGGTATTGATTTTTATGAAATAAACAATAAAATATGGTTTTATAATATGTGATAAAATTTGGGGATTTTATCACTTTACTAGAACATGGCACAAAAACCATTTATTTGGTTAAATATTCTTCTCAGTTTTGTCTTTTCTTACTAAATGTGTGGTAATACGAATCAGAATATTGAAAGACAAATCTCACGGCAAACCGACCATATGAGCTGAAAAAAGTACCAAATAAATGGTTTAAATACCATATATTTTGGTTTTATTTGATGAATTATAATTTTTCTTTTACCAGAAAAGCCATAACCGTAAAATAGAGTAATGACAATTAACCAGAAATTTTTTTCTCTCTCTATGCGTTACAGCTTAATGGAATAGCGTTTCACGTAGGTATATTTAAACTAATACTTTACCATAAGCGTTCATGTCTTCAAGGTTAAATGAGTGGTTACAAGTTCACGGAGAAGAATATGTAGCCCCAAATTTGTTTAATATATAATATCTTAATCCATTGCTTATTTAAATTAAATAAAAATCTTTTTGTGTGAAATAAAAATAGGTTACGAAAGCGTATCAATATAAATTTAATAAGTATTTTATTCAATATTCTTAAAGTAATTTTTCTAAAATTACTATCATTCCAATTATATAATTAATATATACTCAATTTCCAACTATATAATTAATATATAATTAATTTCCAACTATATAATTATTATATATAATTAATTTCCAACTATATAATTAATATATAATTAATTTCGTCAAAACTTTTTCAGGATACGTCATGCACGATCTCAATCAAGCATCCTCTCCTACGTATGAGATTCTGGACATGACCTATGAATCTCCAGAAAATTCGAATGTCTCCTTCCGGGAAAATGATTCGGTGGCCTGCACCAACGAGTACTGTGTCTCAGACGATGAATACATGGCAATGATAGAAGATTACATCTATCCAACGCCAGCTGAATGGGTTCTCATAGCATTGCACGTAATTGTGTTCATTGTGGGACTAGTTGGTAACACCCTGGTATGCGTATCTGTTTACAAGAACCATACCATGAGGACAGTAACCAACTACTTTATTGTAAATTTAGCTTTAGCGGATTTTATGGTGATACTAGTCTGCCTCCCACCGACTGTTCTTTGGGATGTAACAGAAACCTGGTTCTTTGGCAGCGTTACTTGTAAACTTGTATTATATTTGCAGGTGAGTAATTTCTGTTACATTTTTTTCTAATATTTAGTAGACGTTTCTTTTGTTAATAATAAAAAGTTGAGCCGTAGTGGCTTAGGGGATAGAGAGTTCGCCTTCCAATGAGATGAACCGGGTTCGAATCCCGGTGATAGATGGTCGATACGAATTCCACATCCGGCTTGCACCGACCACAGTAGTGACAAGAAATATCCCCAGTGGTAGACGGATCATGGGTTAGAGTCCCTTCGCCGTCAGGCTAACCGTGGGACGTTCTCATGGTCTTCCTCTCCGTGTAACGCAACTGCGGGTCAGCTCCATAAAAAAGTTATCCAAGAAGGCAAATTTCTCTCATTACTTGATCCAGGAGCTCTCTTGCCTTCTGGATTTTGTTCAAAATTACAAGACTACGTAGTTGAACATTAGTGTAATTTTTGTTTGTATTTAGTTCATTTCTAAGTAAAGCTGTTTTCTAGATTTCATATTTAATATTCTACCCATTTGTTAAAACTCTAATTTGAAAATTTTGAATATGTTTGCTTATTTGATTGAACTGTTGTGCACACTTCGAACTTTCGGAGTGTCCCCAGATGCCCCCTTACGGGGGCGGGGCGGGGTTAAGATAATTATTAGTAGTCGTAAGCCTAAAAATTGGGCCTGTTCTTCTACGACCGTTATAATATTATAATAATATATGAAAGTTAGTTGATATTGTTTACCTGTCTATTGTAAAATAACAAAACTATCAACGAGCAAAATATTTTCGGACGTTTCTTCAATGGCAATAAAGTTTCACATGCAAGGAACGATGGTCGGGTAGTTTTCACTACAGAATCGAACTCTGGATTGCCTACACTGTAAAAAATTCCGTATCAAATTATGGTATAAAGTACCGGCACATTGGGTCTATCATCCCTAAAGTATATTTTATCGTAAAATCTATTTTACCGTAATTGTTACAGTAATTTTGATTTCAATAGAGTGAAACAATGATTTTACGGTAATTATTATTATAAAAATAACGGTATATCAGACTTTTTGTTCCGCAATATGTTCCGGTAGAAAGTGACCGCTGGAAATTTGATCCGAAATTTTTTATAGTGAAGCAATGGAGTTTGAGGAGTTGATTGGAGTTATTTTTATTACCTAACTTTTCAATTTAGGAAAACTATTTTTTTTTAACCATAATGAACAACGGGCATTTTTCTCTTTGCTTATGACTATGGATATTCGATAGTTTTCCTTCTTTTTTCAAAGAAGTACTTCAAACTACACATTACACAGGCAAAATTTTGTTTTCCCTTGCTATTAAAAAACTTATCTTTAGCTTACAAATGGAAACTGAATATTAAATATTCATACAAACTAAAGAGCCATATCATATTTTCTAAGTTAAATAATTTCAACAAGCTGTGTTTTACTATAAATTATTAAAAATTAATGATAGTTTTATAAAGGATGCTATGTTAGTGTAAATAAAGAGTAGGTTTTTTGTACAAAAATCATTAGTGATATTACAGCCTCAAGTACCAATAGCTATCGTATAAAGACTGGAAACAAATTCCATACCGGAAAAATTCCGCAGAGGATCGAAATAGAGAAGAGAATTGGAAAAGTGTCGTCGGATAATCCTCTGAGATATATAGGGTCCTCAGGGTTGCATATACTACTACTGCCTATACTAATAATTAAACTACTGAAAAAATTGGAAAGAATTGATGAGCCAAATTTTATGATTAGCTTAAGAATAACTAACTTTCAACTTTTAACACCCCAGTAGGTGTGTTATTTAGCATCACTGTCGATAAATTGGTATAGTTAAAAATTTAACTAACAGAAGTTACACTAGCAAAGTGTACACAGAAAAGTTTTTTACTAATATTAACATACTGACATTTTTGGATACCTTAATTCTTGTTAATAAAACCAAAATAAGCGGTATTTAAACCATTCTTTTGGTAGTTTTGCCATTCTTGTGATAATGTCTTATCAGAAATTCTAGTTTTAAATATTAAAACTCTTATTATCACACATTTAGAAGAAAATACAAAACTGAAAATTAAATTTAACCGAATAAAATTCCATATGCTATCATGATAAAATTACTGAACTTAACCATATTTTCAAAATTTCATCACATATTAAAAGACCATATTTAATTATTAATTTTACAAAAATCGTTACCAAAGCGCTTCGGTAAAATTTATCAAGATTGTTGGCGTTCCTATAGAGTCAGAAACATGGTAGGAAACGAGGTATAGATTCAGTAAAGAAAATAGTTTTTCATATCTTGCTCTCGCTGGCATGAGTCATGTGAAATTTTTATAAGTTTACAAGCTTAGTTCTACTGGGTAAACAGCAAATTCATACAATCTCCTCGTCTTGTGTTCTTTACTTGCATTTTTATAAAAAATAAATTGCAATTGCCCATTTACTTTTTATATTGCAAATATTATTATAAATGTCCGTCTTACCACTTTCTTTCCTGTGCTAAGGTTGATGCGCAAATTTTGCAATTGCAAACAAAAAAATCATGCAGAATTGTTCGGAAAATTATGCAGAATTGTTATTAACTTGATACATCTTGCTTTAGTACTTCAATCATTAAAGAATAATAATAAACAAAATTTTTTTCATTCCGTGCAAGCGTTTAATATTTATAACCGTTTTTCTCTGGTCACACGCACTGGAAACTCGAAACAAGATCAAATATTTAAAAATTAAACCTTCTAAATTCTACTGTCAATTTAGCATTTAAGGATGCCTGAAATATGAATGAGCAGTTTAGAGGTCCATGCCAAGATCATCTCTCATAGCGTAATTTCAAATTGGTAATCGATCTTGCATAAATATATTTTGGTTTACGGAGCAGTCCGCTCATAACATTTTAGAAAGGAAATGATTTTGATTTTTTGCAAAACATTTTTATGTGTGTTTTTTAGTTTAATTAATTTTATGTGTCATGTTAATATTTTATGTTTCACTTTCAGTTTTCATTGTAAGTGCCCAAAAAAAAAAGTTAATTTCAACTTAAGCCTTAAAATTTAAGAAAGAAATAATAATTTATGTAAAACTTCAAGTAAATATACTGTAGGTTATGTAAGTATGTTAGGTAAGCATGCAAGTATGTTATCTACGTAAATATGTAGTTATGTACTTTATGTAAGTATATTTAAAAAACATTACTTTACTATTTCACTTACCATGAAAATTTATTTTAAGTTAACTAAACTAAACTCAGTGGCGTGACAGCCCATATGGGGCCAAGGCCTACTGTGCCCATCTCAGTTTTCTTGACCTTGGACTATAATTTTGAAAACCAGACTTTCTGATAAATTGTTACCATACCGACCAAATAATTAACAAATGAAAGGTTTAAATAACGTATATTTTGATTTTAGCAACTAGAATTATGGTTTTTCTTTTTTCTTTTTTACTGGGAATGTCATTATTATACAGCATGGTAATTTTACTTGAATTTTTTTTCCTCATGTGACATTTTGTCTAAATGTTGTGGTATTACAGTTCATATTAAAGTTGTGTTATTGGAACTGCATATCATATACTACATATACTGAAAATTCAGATTAAATTAGCAAAAACAATAAGGTACGCATATTAATATCTTTAACGTATTTAAATATTAAAAGCTATAGAGTAAAATTAATGGTTTCTACAGGCCACGGAACCAATAAATACAAAACAAATTCGATAAAAGAACTTGTTTTTCAGCTGCCACCTGATCATAACTTTTTTCTTTAAAAATGCACCCCATGTGCATTTTATTATTATTTTTTTTAATAAATATGTAATCCTTGAATATTTTATAATATTCAGAAAATTACAATATTGTACAATTGTTTCTTAACTTTTTTCAAGATTTTAGAAATGTATCTTGTAATGTTTAGTATACTTTCAAAAAGGCTTCAAAGGAAACATAAACTATATTTATAGAAATAAAGAAATATAAATCCTATTTTCAATTTTTGAAAAAGTGGCAGCGTGTCTTAGAAACTTGCCACTACTAAAAATACTACGACTGGTCGCTAGACAGTATCAAAATCTTTTAATTTTAATTTTTATTAATAGATATAACAACCACGAAGAATCAGAGGATAGATCATTCGCCTTCCAATGAGCTGACCCGGGTTCGAATCCCAGCGGTTATTGGGTGATACGAATTCTGCTGTTGGTACGCACTGACAACAGTGCAGACGTAAAATATCCTTAGTAGTAGACGGATCATGAGTTAGAATCCCTTGGCGGTCGGACTCGCCATGAAAGGTTTTCGTTGTTTTACTCTCCATGCTACGCAATTGCGGGTTAGTTCGATCAAAAAGTCCTCCAGGAAGGCTAGTTTATCCCAATGTATCAACGATCCTTGAGTTTCCCTGTCATCTGGGTTGCGTTCAAAATTACAAGGCTACGAAGTTGAACACTGATGGCCATGAACTCAGAATTGGGTCAACTGCTCAACATGGGTTATAAAAAAATTAAAATAGGTATCTAAACATGAATAATGATTTTTTAGGAGAATAAATTTAAAGTATTATAAATAAATTTCTGAACACTGTACTATCATAATACCTTGATACTTTGAGCATATCATGAAAATTTCGTGCAAAATTTCTGAGGTTTACAATTCGCAATGTTGCAATCAATAGAGTTTAAGACGGTTCAATATCCGCAATATTATGCAATAATATTAACAGCAGATCCAATTTTTGGGTTTACGACTAGTAATGTTCAACTCCGTAGCCTTGTAATTTTGAATCCAATCCAGAAGACAAGGAAACTCCTGGGTCAGTACCCTCAAAGGTATTGATTTGTTACGGGAACATGGAGGACTTTGCAACTTGACAGATTTAACGTGCATCAGTCACCGTTTACAACACGGAGAGTCTTCGGTCGGCTGGGATCAAACCCACGAACTCTTGCACATGGGCCCAACGCCCGACCGACCAGGCTATCCCTGCCTATTAAAACAGTATTTTNTATTTTATTTTATAACCGTC